GGTACAATGTCCAAAAAAACATGCCATTAGCATGGAAACATATCCAATGCCATCATATTTTACAGTACTATTTTGTTAGTGACAACTGTTACTATTCATACAAATGTGTTAATATTGTCATAACACATTATTCTGCTATTAAAATAGTAAAAGGCCTATGCTATCTAAGCATGCTAAAAATAACAGCAGCCCCATAAACTATACTGTCAAACATGGCCAAAACTACACTACTATTATGTCTGAACCCAAACAAAAATCGTCAAAGCAGGGTCTTTGAGCAGTGAGCTGAAAGCAGCCATACTCCCACTGGTCATTTCAGTCTTCAAAGACTGAAATAAAGAGTCTTTCATTGTGACCTTTTCTTTGTGCTGTCACCTATACAGTCATTAGTGCAAAGGCAAGACGATATGGGTGTGATGCTAAACATATGCTCATATACATGCTAAGACTTTAACACAAACCTCGCTACTTACTGAATGAGTCCGTTTTGACTGTATTTTAAAGGCTGCAGTAGGCATCGCCTGTCTAAGAGCCAAAAAGTGAGGACTGTAGGTGGGGACTGTGAATTGTGCCAGGACTGCATTGTGGGCTTTGAGAAACAGATACGCAGTCTTAGCTAATACATAAATATATATATATGACGATACAAAATGGTTCAAGATCCAAACCTTTGGGAAATTAAAAACTTAAACATAAAACAGAAAGAGATAGCATGTGTGTGTTTGCAAAACCGCATCAGTAAGGACACAAGACAATGTACGCAACTGTCGTAAAATAGAAAAACAACCTGACAATAGTAAGTGAAGCCAAAAGCAAACTAGCCCATCATTTGTAATCTGCCTCCAGGTGCTCTCTTGATTTGCTGTGTGGGAGACATACTGAGAATGAGTCCAGGCTGTACTGATGGCAGATCAGCTGTTATTCCAAACGATTCTCTGGTGCAGAGATAAATGAGAATCTCTTTTTATATTACGGTAATGCTGTTTAAGATATTGTTTTGCTCTTCTGAATCTTTCATACACCACTGCTGAAAGGCTTATATAACACATAAGGATGACTAAACACACAGGCAAACAGAGCCCCTTCTGCAATGAATCACAATGACAGTAACGGCACGCTAAATGTAAACAACCACACACATATCTGTGTAATACTTCATCAGTGTATTTTTGAGGTTTAGACTCACTGTTCATACTGAAGACCATTTAAAATGCTAAATAAAGAGTAATATTTAGCTTACATGAAATGTGCATATGTTATTGCATGACATTGAAGCTATATATTCAAAGGCCCGGAAAAGTTTCACATGTGACACCAGTCCACTCTATGCCAAGTTCCATTGTCTGAGTGAGCGATTTACATGTCTTATGGCAAGCTGTTTTAATTTATTCCATAGAACCAATGTCTATTTTATGTTACTAATACTTACTTTAATGTATAAATGCAATTTAATAATGACTAGCATTTTCTTCAAATTTGCAGTTAACTATTCTTTAGATACTAGCAATTACTGGACAGTAATTTTGCAAATTTTAGTTCTTGCAAATGTTTGTCAGTGAATTCTATTGGTCTGTTGCTGGGATATTGACAGTCCACTTCTGTTTAATGGTCTGTATTTATTTAATAAAGATTTAATATTTATAAATAATGTATATCTTAATAAACTTTTAAATAATTTAATACAATGAATAAGAACTAACACTTAATAGTCCTAGTGAAAATGTACATATGCTATTGATAGTATGTAACTAGAATACATACTATCAGTAACTATTTTAACTATTTATCTGAATTTAATAATTAGCAAAGGAATAAGTAATATCCAATGCACAAGTACTAGAGAAATAAATAAATAAATAAAAATACCAGTAAGGAAAAAAAGGTACCTTTTCATTCTAAGGAATAAATGTTAAATGCCATACATGACCTCTCATTGAATCTTATAGGTGCTGATTGTTTATGGAGGAAAAATTAGTTTAGGTCTATTAATAACACGGTCAATGAGTCGAGCAGTAATATCATTAATAAAGCATCGAGCCTTAGGATAAATGTTAGTTTACCCATTATAGCTTACCCATAAACAGAGTAGCCTACCCATTACAATAACAGCAATATATAGAGTAAATATCACTAAAGCTATTAATTTCAAACAGCAGGCTATTACAAACTTGCAATATTTTTTCCATTATCAAATTAAGTAAAGACCAAACATACAACTAACACATAATACTTCTTGATGGAGTCTGTGTGAAGTATGAAGAGACACATATGCAGAATAACCGTGGCCTGTAAATAATCACATAAATACGTCCAGCGAGCTTCACAGGCGCGGTGTTTTTGTTTTGCGCAACGTAACAGTTAATAAGGAAACATATTAGAGCAATGTCAGGACAATTAAAGCGCAAAACAAAGCGGAATAGACGTTTACAATTCGGATAAATGCGACGTTGAACCAGTGAGATGCAGAAAAACGAGGTCAGTGTGTTTCCGCGAGCGGCGGCGACATTGAAGCATCATCACAGAACCTGTGTGGATGCTCTTCTTGAAGATGCAAGACTGAGCCTGTCAATTCAATACATAACCATCCAAATGCACGCGTTGAAACGAGGAAGGAAGAGCCGTTGTTGTTTAAAGTCTTACCCTCCGACAGCTCCAGATCCAGCTCAGCGAGCTGCTCCCGGACCTCTTGGGGGAGAGCGGACACATCCACACCACGCTCCGCCATTATGGCCCGAAGCCGGAGGAAAGAACAGCGCAGAACGGTTTACCGACAACAAAGATACCCGTGTCCTCCTCACAGTGAAAGACAAATGGTATTAGACGGCAGACCAAGCTCCATCATCTCCGCCATGCCGAGAGAGAAATCCCAACCGATGGGAAGAGTCACATGACCAGGACTCGGGATGAGGAGTCTGAGCCTGTGCTCTGAATCCGCGGCGATTTTGCTCCCTCTTGTGTGGTGAGAGAGAATCTTTCTTTATCTAATGCAATGTATGTAAAAAAAAATCTGTCATTATTTACTCACCCTTTTGTCTTTCTAGATCCGTAGGTAGTGAAAAAAGGGAGACATTTTGAAGAAGCTTCACGCAGCTCTTTTCCACGCAACATAGCAACCAAGTCTGTCAAAAGAGGGAGAAAAAGATTTTGCACAACCTTAAAATGTACATTTAATTAATGGATATGGTAATATAGGCTACTAAAATCTGTTTTGTACCTTTATAATATACTGACAACCACTCATCACAAGTTGACTTTTCACAAGCTGAGATAACTATAGATAACTATAATATAGAAAGTGCACTGTCTTAAGGTAGTTTTAGACTAGATATAAGGGTTGTAGTGAATGGGTGATAACATGTTAATTAAGAAATATATCCCTACTTGTGTCCATATCATTGTAAATATTATGTTATACACTTATACAAGGCTTGTAATGTTTATATTGCTCACACTGCTAAACAACAGAATGCATAGGCTATGCACGTCATTCAAGCTATTCCACATACACAGAGCGGTCACGCACACAAACCCCACCATACCACCTCTATATACAGTGGAATAGAACACCTTCAAAACAAGATGATAAAAATGGCAGAAAACCAGCTCAAAGCATCTCATTGAATGTACAAGAGGCTAGAGTTCCAACAATGTTTAATTATAACATATCTTAAGGACCGTTTCAGTTAGTCAATATCATACAGTAAGCAATGTTTGCACGCTGACACTCATTTCATATTTACAACTCTTTAAGGGCTTCACTTACACATTACACAATTTGGGATCAGTGAGTTATACACACTGTGGAAAGCAGTGCGTTCTACATCTAAACAGGATAAATCCAGATGCAAGGAAGGTCAGTGACAGAAACTGATATGGCAGATTGGATCATTAAAAAAAAAACACCTAGATAATCTACACATCATCTAAGCAAAATGCATTGCAAGAGGAAAAATGATGCCATTGTCCAAAACCTATGAAGCCAATTTCCTAAGCATAAGAAAAAAAAACATGACTTGGTAAATCTTAATTATGAGATAAAAAGATAACATTAAAACTTATGTTTATGAGATAAAAAGTCAAAATTATGATAAAAATTCATGACGTACAAAAACAAAAAAGAAATTACACCTATTTTTTTGTTTTTATTTCAACCTTTGATGTAATTATGACTTTTTATGCAGTAATTTTGACTTTTTATCTCATAATTTTGACTTTTATGTCATAATTTTGTTTTTTTTTATGTCATAGATATGATTTATCACGGCATGATTTGTTTCTTATGTGGCAGAAATGGGCTTCCATAAAAAATCATATTCAAAATTGGATTTTAAAAAACAGCAACAGTTAGCTTAAACTAATGCAGATTATCCTATTTAAAAGTGATCAGACATCAACTGTTTAATGGAATGCAACTTAAGTTATGTGTTAGTTATGCGGACCAGTTGAAATTCATTCAGGGTGGCCAAGTGTGTCTTTCAGGCCCCAAAAAAGAAATAACAATATTTTTATTTCTATAACACCATTCTAACACCCAACTTACTCAAAAGCATTTCAACCATTTTGAAACGAGACTTCACATTCATAGCCGGGTTAGTTAACTACTGTACATTCACGAAATGCAAGCATAAGAGTCATTACGCGTGAGTTTTTGTGTGTGTTCCCTGTTATGAGACCAGATGCACTTAAACTTTGGGGTCTAACATAAATGCAAAAGATTTATGTATTTTGGTTAAAGATACCTATAATTCAGCAGAGCATATCGTAATCATACTGATCTAAAACATGTTCACATGGTTACGCTACCCGTTATATCCATATATATATATATATATATTGCAAAACGCAGACAAACCAATAACGATATTCAAATATAAAAATATATTTTCTCTCCATTCTTAAGCTTTTGTGAGCCCATTCTGCAATGCCAGGTTACGCTAAATGTGGGACACGATCTTCACCAAAACAGCCACAGAAGCACAGACCTGAGAGGTTACTACATTCACGAAATGCAAGCATAAGAGTCATTACGCGTGAGTTTTTGTGTGTGTGTTCCCTGTTATGAGACCAGATGCACTTAAACTTTGGGGTCTAACATAAATGCAAAAGATTTATGTATTTTGGTTAAAGATACCTATAATTCAGCAGAGCATATCGTAATCATACTGATCTAAAACATGTTCACATGGTTACGCTACCCGTTATATCCATATATATATATATATATATTGCAAAACGCAGACAAACCAATAACGATATTCAAATATAAAAATATATTTTCTCTCCATTCTTAAGCTTTTGTGAGCCCATTCTGCAATGCCAGGTTACGCTAAATGTGGGACACGATCTTCACCAAAACAGCCACAGAAGCACAGACCTGAGAGGTTACTTTAGATACAACAGTAAAATTAAGCCAGAGAGGAGAAGAGAGAAAGGGAAACTGGGAAAAATGGTAAGAGTGAGTATGTGAGAGATAGTGTCACAGAGAAATGTGTTAAACTTATCTGCATAATGTAGCAATCATCTTTCTAATGTGGCCAGAATCATGCAACGAATCATTATATTATAAAAACCATTGGATAAAAAGCAAAATAAGCAGAAATTCCTGCAAACGAGACAAATATCAACTCAATGCATTAGTGAGAAGATCTATACAAGTATATGTAAAGGTGTATTTTATAGAGATGACAGAAGAGACTTCATTTCCACTGCAGTGCTTCCTAGTCTGCAGTCTGAAAGGGGAGTCCTATGATGTCACTACTTAGCCCGGGGGAGAGTCTGTGATAGGCTAAGGGTGAGCAGGGTGTGGTCAGAGCGTGGTAACATTGGTTCCCATTTGTCACATGAGAGCATTTACAAACACACCAGGACTGACAGTTTTGAGGGGAAAGGGGGATTCGCTCCTTTGAAAGTATATTGAGTTCCCATTGGCTGAACGATATGCTCATCATCTGGATGTGGGCTGCGATTGGGAGGAAGCATCTCCAGCTGTGTTACTCCACTGGCCCGAGCCCATTCCCGCTAAAACAGCAACAGCCTCTGCCGCACGCACACTCAGACCATTAACCGACACCGGAGCCGGTACTGACACAGGCATCACCAACGCCGATGCTGAAATCTCATCCACTCCTGCAGCTAAAGGGAGGGAAACGGAGGAAGGATGAATATTATGCATAGGGATTTAGGACAAATAAAGAAAATATGTTGGCCGGGTGGGAGGATGATGATGGATAGATGGTGTACCGAGATATGCTTTTTTCTGCATGGCAGTAACAGGGCAGTCCTTATGGGCCAACAGCAGCTCCTTCAGACGTGTCACCTCAGTCCTCAACACGGACACTTCATTCTGTCAAGCACATATACACGACTGTGTCAAGGAAGTCATGAAGAAATGTCATTTTTGGATATACTATCTCTGCTTAATATGTAGAGACAACAATAAGAAAGCCATTAATAGGTTTATACCCCCAAAAAAGTGCATGACCAGTTAGATATTGGCTTAACCAATGGCATGATCAAAAATTTAAATATTCCGTTCAAAAAATTGGGATCAGTAAGATTTGTGTGTGTTTGTGTTGTTTTTTTAAAAGAAATCTCTTATGCTCACCAATTCTGCATTTATTCAAAATTTATCAGAAATACAGTAAAACGGTGAAATTGTAAAATATTATTATAATGTAAAATGTTTTCTCTTTTAATAGACTTTACAATGTAATTGATTCCTGTGATGGCAAAGCCGTTGCTTTCAGCAATCATTACTCCAGTCTTCAATGTCACATGATCATTCTAATATTCTGATTTGGTGCTCATTGACTAGTCAGTGGTCTTAAAGACCATCTGTATAATTACAATGACTGATTTAGGGTCATGTTCAACAGGACTGTTCACATAGGATGCATTCTTGCATTAAAAACAGCTGGACAGAGTGCAACGGAATGCATAAATGTTGAACTATTTTTAACTTGACATGCTGATGGTGCAAGTAATTGAAAAAAAAAAAAAGCAGAGTGTAAGAACACACATTCCTCCATGGGTAACAAATATTCCACACTAATATGTCCAACTAAAAATTAAACAAGATTAAGTACTAACATACCAAAATTACTCAAACTGAAGTACAAATAAAAATACTAAACAAATCTGAGAAAAAAAAAACACTAGTAAAACTGATAAAAGCACATAAAAAATTTAAAAGAAAACTGAAAATACACAATAAAAGCCAACTCAAAATATTGATATTCTATAAAATCATTAAAAAAAATAATAATAATACTGAACTAATAACTACAACCTTTTACTGAATAAAACCATTACATTTCACAAAACAACACAGAGACCTACAGGTTATTCAAAAAACATGAACATTGCTTACAGCAGGCATTTAGAAGTATGAGAGTAGTTGTGCTGAAATGTACTTTTAAAGGCAGTGAATTAGCTGCAAAGCCAATGTTTTGTTGGTTGTAGTTTCCGTGCTTTAAATGGGATGAATTTTGGGAAGCAAATTCTCAGAGAGAGTTTAACTGCACTGCACACTCTCAGCTTGATAAAAGCTCTTATGCTCACCAATTCTGCATTCTAATTTATTTATTCCTGTGATAGCAAAGCTGAATTTTCAGCAATCATTACTCCAGTCTTCAATGTCACATGATCATTCGAATATTCTGATTTGGTACTCATTTCTCATTATTATCAATGCTGAAAAAAGTTGTGCTGCTTAATATTGTTGTGGAAACCGTGATACATTTTTACGGATTCTTGTATGTTTATAAAATTCAACAGAACAGCATTTGTTTGAAACAGATTTTTTGTAACTTTTGTCACTTCTGATCAAGATAATGCATCTGTGTGAGTATTAATTTCTTTAAATTAAAAAAAAAAAGCAACAAAAAAAAAAAACTTGTTGACCCCAAACTGTTCAACAGTAATGAATCAAAATCATCTTGTTTCTTGTATCTTTTCAGCCTGACTCACAGTAAGCGTGACGTTAGAAGTAGCTAGCTCCTCAGCGCGTTTCTCCAGGGCACTGACCCACACTTTCCGTTTTTGCCGGCAACGGGAAGCAGCGGCTCTGTTCCGTTCAAGGAAACGACGCCTGCGCTCATCCGGCTCAATATCTGCCCCTCGTCGTCTGCGGCCTCCTTTTGGTGGAGCAGGGGATACCTGCAAGATATTGCATGAGCTGTCAAATAGATTGAGAACTTATATGCATATGTCAACAGTTAAATAGTGTATACTGATATATAATGCTTTAGTTGAGCTTAATTTACCATGAAATATCCCATTTAAACCCATTTATTTAGCAATTGATAATATTCACAAACCCTATTCAAAAGGAACAGGCAAATACTATCATATATGTAACACAGGTATGAGATGTTTGTGAGCACCTGTGGTTGAGCAGGTGATGGTGTCTCAGTCTGATCTGTTTTTTGTATTGGTGCTGGTCCACTAGGACTCTGCTGAGATAGTGCTGCTTTTAGCCTCTAGATGGAGACAGATCCCATACACAAACACAAGGAAACACCACAACATTTAATTTAATGCTCAAAACCTGCCGTTACATTTTTGTAGCTAATTAATCGTTACATAATAAGCCCATTGTTAAGCATTTATACCCAAGTAAACACTGCGTGTGCTAGCGTGGGTGTAGGTGTGCGCATTCTCACCGTCTTGGCATCAGAGTGTGTACTGTATCCAGACGGAGAGGAGGAGCCACTGCTGCTTCCACCAATAGGAGGGCCTGGAATCCCTGGGATATTGGGCACTGGGTTTGATGATCTGGCAAGCTATATATACACACACACAGCAACACAAGCTTAACATAATTTAAACACAAAGCATAGACACAAATACAAAACAGATGTGTACTTGTTTTGAGGGTCATTGCTGAAAATGTCATCACAGATACTGTAAAGGTAATAGTAATTACTATTGTTTTGATTTAAGATATATATTTTCGTAATTGACAAGTCAGTGGTCTTAAGGACCATCTGTATAATTACAATGACTGATTTAGGGTCATGTTCAACAGGACTGTTCACATAGGATGCATTCTTGCATTAAAAAACAGCTGGACAGAGTGCAACGGAATGTATAAATGTTGAACTATTTTTAACATGCTGATGGTGCAAGTAACTGAAAAAAAAAAACTGTTAAAAACAGCAGAGAGTGTTCCACTCAAATATTCCACACTAATACTTCCAACTAAAAATGAAGATAACATTAAGTACTAAAATACCAAAATTACTAAAACTGAAGTAAAAATAAAAATACTAAATATAAATAAAAAACAAACAAACAAACAAAAAAAAACACTAATAAAAATGATAAAAGCACATAACATAAAATGTAGAAGTTTGAGAGTAATTGTCCAGAAATGTACTTTTAAAGGCAGTGAATTAGCTGCAAAGCCAATGTTTTGTTGGTTGTAGTTTCCGTGCTTTAAATGGGATGAATTTTGGGAAGCAAATTCTCAGAGAGAGTTTAACTGCACTGCACACTCTCAGCTTGATAAAATCCTCTCCAAGAATTTGTGTCTTTTAATGCAACCCCTTTAAAGCAGCACTAAGACTAATAATAATTGTAAAAATATTTAAACTAAAACAAAACAAATCATAACTTGCAGACCTCACTAACTCTAACTAGCTGACCAGTTAGATGACGAATAAATAATCAACTACCCTGACTCATGCCATAATAAGCCCGTGTGTGAGATCTCCATACCGATATGACTGAAGTCTGCCCTGGACTGGGCAGCAGAGGAACAGTCTGACCATTTGGAAGCTGCATCAGCATAGGAAAAGAACCAGACGGCGAGCTGAAAACAGAGTTACAAAGGTACTATTTTAGGACATTTTTTCCTCAGAAAGGGTGAGGAAGCAGAGGTGTGAATAACACTGAAATGATTCATGCAATTACAAAAAGTTTAAACTCAGAGGAGTAAAACTGCTTCACTGCTGAGGATGAACACAACCAATCACAAAGTCAGACTAGTGATTTAATTTGGTTGGATCAACACCTATAATGCATAAAAAAAGGCTCACTACCTTTTTAACATGAAGTGCCCTCTGATCTAGTGTGTTTGTACCTGAGTCTGTTTGACGGAGGGGTCCTGGTGATAACAGAGGTGGGAGAGGGCTGAGTTGGATTCATGGAGTCGAATCCTTGGTGAAGTGGGAGAGAGCCTGGGCGAACTATGGTTGGTGTAGGGGTGGAACTTGCTGCAGTTCGTGGAGGAACATCCTGTAAAAGTGAGATACATGACAATATTGTATGCAGAACTTGGAAAAAAACCCCTGTAATTTTCTTGCCACAAATTTTAATTCACCTTGGCTTTCCTCATGGCAATAGGCTCTTTTGCCATGGCAACTGCATCTTTGCTGTTTGTCATGCTGGAGGCGGAGTCAGGGCTTTCTGGAGGGGAGGAGTCAATCTCAAGATGCCCCTCCCTCTCTTTAACTTCTGTAAGTGTCTGTAGAGCTGGAAGCTTTGAGGTTCAAGATCTCAAGTTCATTAAATAAACTTTGTCAAACAGAGCATTTAAGTTGATAACCCTTTAATATTTTACACATTCCTTATTTGAAATCTTACCGTGCCCTTTATTCTCCTCTCCTCCTCCTCTTGTGTTTTGCGGAGATCTTGCTCGAAGGAGCCAGCTAGCTCACTAAACAAACCCACCTCCTCACAATTCTTAAGAAATCGAGTGGGAGTGGGTGTCTGATCTGCACACACACACACACACACACACACACACACACACACACACACACACACACACACACACATTTGCTTGACTATATTAGTGAGGACATTGCATTGACTTCCATTGATTTTCTATCAGGTTAATGATATTTTCTATTCCCTAACCCAACCCATAAACCTACCCCTCACAGAAACATGTGCAAAACACTAGATTTACAACAAAACATGCTCTGGCCAATTTATAAGCCTTTTTAACTAATGAGGACCAGTAATATGTCCTCACTAGTGGGTTGTCATATTATTTCACTATATAAGTGAGGACATTTGGCCCTCACAAGTATAGTTAAACAAGTACACACAGTATTTGTACCAAATACAAACAGTCAAAGGCGACTAACTATTGTGACATTGGTGTAGAAGTAATATATATCAAATTTTGTTGTACAACAGCACTCACCTGTCGTCTGACACTTTAAATGTCCAAGCTCTTTAAAGCAGGATGGATTCTGACTAGCTGTCAATGTTTTTATTATTCATCAGCTGGAAACAAATGTTCCAAAAAATGATACAAATGACATCATTCCTTTATGTCATCACTGTTATAGTTGTAGTGTGGATGTCCCTACACTCACAGAATTAGAATGATAATTAAAGGGGTCATATGATGCTATTTTAAAGATCATTATTTTGTGTATTTGGTGTAACACAATATGTTGACATGCTTTAATGTTCAAAAAACACATTATTTTTCAAATACTGTACATTATTGTAGGTCCTCTATGCCCCGCCTCTTTCAAACACGTCGTTTTCAACAAAGCCCCCTCCTTTGACAAGCGCAGTCTGCTCTGATTGGCCAGCTGACACAGTGCATTGTGATTGGCCGAACACCACAAGCACTCGTCAGAAATGTAATGCCCCTTACCATAATCGCGAGCTTCAGCTTTCAAAGTAAATATCAAGACCGTTAATAATGTTGTTAGTTTTACCATCAGTTCAAGCCCGAAAGGGCAACAGAGTAGAAAGGAGAACTTGAAATCGCATCATATGACCCCTTTAAAACTTTATAGTTGTAGTTACTGTCTTTGGTGTGAACCAGCCTTGTCTATTACAACACAAAGGAACTATATCATTGGAATCATTTCCAGAATGTTTTTTGATTAAACATCGCCAATCAGAATCTACCCGACTTTAAAGAACTGAAAAATTTAAAGCAGTAGATTACATAACTTCAGCGTGCGCTTATAATAAACACAGTATGATCATTCTTGGTGTGAACAGGCCTTAACACAAGCACTCTGACCAAACAGAATGACAAATTCATCTATGTGGGGACACAAACCTGCTATGATAACGGTGTCTGTTCTAGCTTGTCCGAATTTCAGCGTCATCTCATGCTTATGTTTGTGCACTGCCAAATGGTCCTCGTTGGTAAACCTCTAACGTGAGAGAAACATCGACAGAGACATATGCATCAGCCCGCTTCAAAGTTTTCCGTCAATTTGCGTCTCATCCTATTTCAAATCAGATGGAAGCTAGAAACAGAGAAGCAGTGGATGATACCAGGCCATCTGTTGTTTTGATGACGGCTTATGTTATCCAGTTATGCAGTGCTATGGGAGCCTCTTACAGTTGCTCAGTGGCAGGGATTAAAACAGCTGGTGTGATTTTAGAATAAAAGTTTTGGACAACAATCTGTCACTGGCTGGCCCCAAGATTAAGGGCCATAAAGATTCTTAAATCTTTATAATTGGGCTCCCAAAACCTTAAACATTTGGACTAAAGTGTCAGGACTGCACAGGGGTTAAACGCCTTATACAGAAGGGCAGGACCATCATAAAAAGAAGAATTTAAGAGTAATAATGCGAGAAAATAGCTCTTACCTGTCCACAGCCCAGGGCAGTGCAGACAAACGGTCGATCGTCTCCCATTTTAGATCAACTACTTCCTGTGACACTTCTAAACACCATCCAGAAAGAACAGTTATATCTTATGAGACCTCAGACTTTTTAAAAACCTAATTTCTATTCGCTTCAACTCAATTTTTTAAACAATCATCTGACCATAAAACCACTATTTAAAAGAATTCCTCCCAAACTTTGCCTTTGACATGTTGTACAGTCTCTTGACAGCTGACAGGAATCTAGACTTCATTGCAGCACAGAGGCCTGCTGGGTTCAACTGATTGCATAATGTGCGTGATGATTACATGATAAGACGCTTTCATCTGACTATTGTCTGAGATCATCCCTGTTTAAAGAACATTTCCGCTAAATTAAACCCGCTTCAAACCAAAAGCTTTATCACACCAACACATACGCAAGCTAGCATGCGTTTCTTCTGTAAGCCATTCCAGAATAATCTATACAATAAAATTACTCCACACTAGAATGTAATAAAGCCATAACAAGTGTTTTAACGAAAAGATAACATGTCGGAGAATTTGTCTTAACTCCTGGCGCGCTGTGTGTTTCGTTTAAAAGGTTCTTAGCGATGTCCGATTCGTGAACGAATCGTTCTTTTGAGTCGGATCTGTTCAATATAGTGGTTGAACCGGTTCACAAGACCTGTCCGAACGACTCGTCCACGAAACTAGCTGAATCAAATAACTGACAGTAAGGAGCATTTCGAGTGAACCGAAACGTGAAACGACTTTAATAGTTACATAGCGGAAATGTTACAATTAAAATGTATTGTAGATATGTTTACGATGTGATTGTATGGCAGCTTTATCAACACGTGCAAAAACGTTAGTAAAAATATGTAAAGTAAAATCATGTAAAAAATATTTAAGGTTTTAAAAAGATTTTGTTTTTAAACAACAACTGAAATAAGACACGTTACTTTATTAATATCACAATTTGGCAAAACAGTGACCACGAGATGACGCAATTACGTGGCAGCGTACGTAATATCTGAATCACTTAACCCAGTTTTTTAACGAACTCTCCAAAAGAACCGATTCGCAGAGAAGAGTCAGACTTCCCATCACTAAAGCTAACTGGCTAATGCTAACCACACACGAGCCAACAGGCTCTAACACCCCATTTACACTGCAAGCGAGCGACGCGAAGAAACAAAACAAGAACACGCCCATTATATTAAACGAAGCTACAATGCCAGTGCGAGAAGATTATTGATTATAATGGGGATGTATTAACGTTAATTATGTCGCGTCTCGTGCAGTGTACACACGGTGCTCATGACACCTCCACCATTCGCGCGACCAGCGCTGCTACACTTGAAATCAATAATTGTAATGCATCTGATAATCCAAATGAGTTACATGTCGCCTGTTAATCATCCAAGGGTTTCAGTGTTTACAAACTTACCCTGCTCCTCCCTCTCTCGCTCGTTCCCTCTCTCTCCGCGTTCCCACCTTTGGAACGGCTTCATCCAGCTACCTCACTACATGTAAATCTCGCGATATGTTGACGTAATACTCAAACCCAGATTAAAGTCGTTACGTAACCGATCTGAAGCCGTGATGAAGTTTAGTTTACAAATCTCTGTGCTGCACACCCAACGCGTCAAATGAAAACGGGTATTACAGACGGGAAAAAATGCTCTTAATAAAGCCCTTAAGCATATAACGGAATGATAGCCATTAACTCAACTTTAAATAATTTAAATCCAAAATAAGTAACGAACCCGCACACTATCAATAACTTGCTAATTCTTAAACTTTATTAAACGCAACGTCTAAGAATTAGCAAGTATTGATAGTGTGCGGGTTCGTTACTTATTTTGGATTCAACTTTTTGTTTGATTTTGTTCCCATGCACCCCCCCCCCAAAAAAAGAGAAAGAATTGCAATCAAACGTCTATATGGGGGACTATATGGATATCACGTAGATATTAATTTCCATATGGATATCACAGTTTGGGACCAATAATTAAAAAAAAATCCTAATAAAAAGGAGTTTTTCCCCTTCATTTTATAAATTGTTAGATATTACAAAATCACTATTTGATTGAAGTTTAAATAACACTTAATTTAAAATTACTTGAGTTCTAGAAAGCCTAGCAAGTGTTGCAATACTTAGAATAATTCGTTTATAAAAGAAATTGCTATAGAAATCCTCAAGCAGTTTCAACTAGGTTGTTCAAGAATAAAAAAAATAAATGCAGATTAAAATCATTTTATCATTTATTTTTCTTCCATTAGCTTTTTTTTTCCCTTTTATTGAACATCTACAATATCATCCAAAACACTTCACTCAGCAGTTGCCATGTCTACCCCTCTATAGAAATAAAAACAAAGGGTCAATACTTTTTTTCATTTTTGGCTAAAGAGTCGCTACTCAAAACTGAAGCTTTTTAGATATGAAAAGGTAACAACATACACGGGTTATAAGATTAGTAACAAAACAAAATACATTTCATGTCACCAACCAGTTATGAATCAAATCAATTAATTCAGATAAAATAATAAAAAAAATAAAACCAGGTCCACTGATTTTTCTAATTTTAGTGACAGTTTCTACATAATTTGCGCCCCAAGGATAATATTGCCAAAAATAGAAAATAAAAATCTGAAAATACATCTTAAACTAATAACACACATATGTTAGGGCAAGAAAGCCACACTAATGAAAAGTTAAAGAAACAGACAATTTAAAACTAAATTAAAACAAAACTGATGCATGAAATTTCCCTCCAATATTTTGCCTAAAACAGTCAAATAAAAAGTAGGGGATTTTGAGAAATTATTCAAAGGACACCTTTATAAGGTTTTACACACAAAGTTTCATAAAACTAAAACATACATTGTTCAACTCACTAATCAACATAATCACGATTTTAACCACTCACTCATTAAACAGTGGCCCTGCCCATGGCAGAATGATAAGAGAGGAGGGAGGAGCTACTGCATTTAAACAGCACTTCCTGAGATTGTCTCTCTGCCGATTTGACTTTGGTCTGAATCTATGCACAACCCAGCCATACATGTGAATGAGACAAAAAGGAGGGGATAAAAACTAATTGAGGAGAGACTCATGCATTACAGTGTCACTGATTAAACATTTTTTTTTTTAAACATTCAAATATGCATTATTAACTGAAACTTAAGACCCCGAAACAGTTTAATGTGGTTACTGGACTGAAAAGGCTATGAATATAAAAAATATATATATATATATCCCGCAGTAAGCATTGGACAAAATTAGCAGTCATACACATCACCTATTTCCTCTGAGGTCCTGAGTTCCATCTCTTTTACCTACATCGACATGAGATTAGATGACAGGTATATTATGAGTGCTGTAGCAGGTATATTACATGTAATCATACCTGAAATGTATAGGCATAAATGCAAGCATCACATACAGATTATCATTAAACATACAAAGAAACAAACAGACTGACTCAATATCACAGACTGGACATGAATGGCGATTCTGAAGCAGCACACTAACTCAGAGCATAAAATTCAACCTGATTATAGTCACCAGCATCTACAGCAGAGGGGAGAAAAAAACAAAACAAACGGAAATTGTCAAAAGCAGACACTACAAACAACAACCTGATCACTAGAAAACACTAACAAGACTTGCACTCCCAAGGGAAAGGAAGACAAACAGTGTTTTTTTTCTCATCTACACGAATGATTTCTACTCATTCTTTCAGCAAAGCAGCTGGATCTTTCTGTTACTGACAGACCCAGCCTTCAGAAACACTGGACATCACATGACACTGTATGGCACTATACAGCACCACACACCAACTCAAAAATCTCCTTGAATATATTTGTCCAAATCTTTTTTCAATGGATGTCTTACTTCATCCATTCGTCATGACAAACTTCCTGTTCAGTGTGTCCTTCAAACCTACACATTTCCCTCTTCCTTTGTCTGAACAAGGTACACACACTTGTCTTCCAGTTATAGACCAGGGGTGGGAATCTATAGGCACCTCATGATTTAATTATGATTCAGTCATTAAGCGATTACAACACAATGGCATATGTGCACAACTGATTCACTCTATGCTTTCTGAATCATGTGAAACACTTAATACCTGCTTGAGTTAGAAAATGCATGCCAAATATAGACAGGTTTCCACCATTTTCAGGTCAATAAATTTCATTGACTTTTCCAATTGATTGTAATGACTAAATAAGAAATTTTGAACAAGGACTTTTAGAAATCATTTTAAACGTAAGACTCATCATATTAGAGTAATTTATAGCTGTTAATTATCTATTAATTATAATAACAATATTATTAACTTTTCCAAGTCTAGAAATCACACTTTGGGATATCTGTAAAGTTTCATATTGTGCACGCTTTCAATAAATTAAAGAACAAACAATTATGAATCATTTGATAATTTTCAAAATCATGTGATCATTTTCAAAAGCATCACATCTGAATCGAACTTCTTCCCCAGACCCTTTTAGGACTGGTGCAAACATAGGAAGTAATGAAAAGACACACACAAATGTGAGTTTTGGCCCTGTGGTGGTGTTGCCATGCTGTCTTTGTGTTATCTGTTGCATATGGAGCACATGTGCTGGCTTGATTTCTCACCAACATTACTACTATCATTTAAAGATATTATATATAAAACAAGGTAAAGCATTCTACACTAGTGCCAGGACCTTAAACACTCCAAGTAAAATAAAAAAAATCATTCACAATCTAATTAATTGCTGTAAATCACAGACAGCACAGGAAGCATAGCCTCCATTTCTCCTTTCAAGTGTAAGAGTTTTTTTGTCTTCCTTAAATTCCTAGTTTTCTTCTGTAATTTTTTTTAAGGATCAACTTCCCAGATTTCAGTCATTTGGGAAGCAGAGTTCTTCCGACACCACAGTGCAACAGTCCAGCTTTCATATGTAGATATATATAGTTTTATATAGTCTTACTTTATTATATAAGTGTGCACGCGTTGTGGGCATACGAGGCATTACTTTGGCGATCTAGGTGGGATGTTTTGTTCTTTTCCACTGCGTCTGTTGTACCCCGTCTGTGGAGAGGAGCGTCGACCATGTAGAGGCCGTCTCTGTTGCTCTCGGAGCTTAAAACCTGACCCTCTGGGGCCGTTACCACATTGGTATCCAGTAGGCTCTCTGGATGTCCGACTATCACTTCCCTTCTCCAATTTCTCACCAGGGATGCAGCGGGATGAGGCTGGGCCTTCCGCTTTGTTGACACGAAGTTCACGTAGTGGTTGGCTTGTGGTGGGAGAAGGGGTGGGACTGGGGCTGGGCGGGGCTACTGGTGCAGGGGGAGGGTCTCTGGGTGGCCTTTGACACACCTCCGCATAGCTCAGTTTCCGAGGCTCCTAAAGTGATTCAATAAAACCTTCAAGTTAACAGACAGACATCGCCATTCTGACCTTCAGATGTGAACAAGCAACAGAAACATTTAGAATTTAGCAAATGAATGCATTTACCTGGACAGTTGCGCTTGTTGGGTCAGGTGGTGTAGATGCAGTGCTTGAAGTGCTTGATTGGCTGCATGAAGGTTTGGGGGCAGAAATGGGCTGGACGTGCTTTGCAGTCACTGATGCAAGGTCTGGAGGCGTGTCAGAGACCTGAACCTCTTTCTCAGGTTTCTTCACTTGATGTGACGCACTATAGAGAGAAATGTGATTTGAATCAACCCATTTCTATTTGTACAACCTTTTGATTATTTATATTTTTAATATGCATGTTTTTGAAATATGTATAGCAAAAATTTATGTTACTTTTATAATATTTAAAATGTATTAATCAATAGGTTATAAAACGTATTATATTTTATCATTAACATTTACAATGCATTTATAAATTAATCCTAGATAAATTATAGTATTAGTAAAAGTATTGTTCAGAGGTAATTTATGATACTTTTAACACATTGTTGAATTCTTCAGAATATAAGATGCTATTGTGCATGTATGTGTGTACCTAGTGCTAGGTGTGTCCTCTTTTGAGGCAGGAAGCTTTGGCGCTGGAGTGAAGGGTTCGGTCGACTGAGCTTCCACTGGACATGTTCTGGGATCTTGACCGACATCTTGCTTACTTGTTTCCTGCTAAACAAAACCCAGAAAAATGGTAACTTTACTTGAGTGATATCTGAGATTCGCTGCGAACAAGCAAAACAAATATAACTGAGAATAAATGATTACAAGTAGTAGTTCTTACTACCTTGTCCCTGCTGATGCCCTTAACTACATCTGCCATGCGATTTTCCAACACCGACTCAGTTTGCACAGTCACACCTGGCAGACGACTCGGCACACCTCCTGGCAATGGCGGGAAGTTAGTGCTTGCGAGGTCAAACTTAGGGGGAGGAGCTTTCACTTCTGAATCAGGATTTTGCCTCTGTGAAAAATGAAATCCAAATGAAATGAGAAGCACAAATAATTGAGCATAAATGCATAAAAAAAATGAAGTACTTCAGAGAGCAATGTAATAAATGTTTAGGACTTGCCATTCTTTCATCTTCTCTTCTCCTCCTCATGCCACGATAGCTTCCCCTCCTGGACACATCACAATTTGTTAAATACACTCCTATCAGCAAACCAGTCACCATTCAGTGAACACACTCAACATATGACCCTCAGATCTCAATCTTTCTGCTCACTGGGACAGGAGTGACAGACTTAAAGGAGAGGGAGAGAGAGAGAGAAAGCAAAAGAAGAGATGGAAGGAGAAGTAGTGATCAGAGAAAAGAAAAATAACTCCTAAAGTCTTCCCATCACTCCCTGCTTCCCTCTATGCACTTAGTTGATCATCACTGGGTCAAAACAACCAAATGTGCCGCTTAGTTAAATTTCTTGGGGGGGAAAAAAAAATGTAGTTAAAAAAAACTGACCTTGCCCGGCTGCTGATGCCAATATCTGAGTGGTGGTTCTCTCTGGGGGAAACCTGTGGTTCAGAGAGCGGGATGAGGGTGGAGGCAGTGGTCTCGGAAGTAGAGGTGGATGGTGGCTGGGGACAACCAGTACTAGACAAAGTCTCTGTCAGCTGACCCACGTCAGCACGAGGTTGTGGCTTTACATGATTCCTGAACAGAACACAGAAAAATCAGAGGTTTCTTAGAGGTGACTGCATGCAACTATAACAGAGGCTCCAAAGCCAGAGCAAAGCTCAGTAAACATCTGTAGAACAGATACGTTTGTTCAGCTGGGCTTTAAGGGTGGTCTCTCTGGCTGTGCAGAACAAGCATCACAAATGGAAGTGTTATACATGATATGTAGTGACAAAAAGAAATGTCTGTTTGGTTGAGAAGTTCCTGAAGTGACACCATTTTCCATTTCTTTTGCAGAAGTTCTCCCTTTTAGCAGTACAGACAACCAGTATAAACTAAACCAAAAGAAATTTACAGCTGATATCTCACTATTTGAGATAAATCAACATTAAGCAGATAGAATTCTGCCTGTGTAACCTTTTGTGTTAATTCCAAACTTGAGTAACGAGTAAATGTTTTTTGCATCTTTAGAAGGCAAAGTAACACCTAAAAATATTATCGGACATAATATTATATATTGTGCATAATATTATATGCACAATATTATCGGACCAATATCAGAATCACCTGATAATGGCTTTAAATGTAAATATCGGCATTGGCCTGATATGAAAAAGTATGCCGATATGTCTTGCCGATAAGAAGAATACATGAACTCACATGTGCTCAGGGTGTGCTAGCGATTAGATCACGTCAGCATTGTGGCTCATTCTTGAAGCAAAGTTTTGCCTGAATGATGAATAAATTCACTGTTTTGGATCCTGCATTCAAACTGAGAATGCATGTACAGAATGATGCGTTTGGTGTGTGATAGACCAAACAAGTAATAGTAGGTGCAGTGGCTGCCTCCCCAGGGTTCTAATGTCTAATTAAAAATAACTGTATATCGGTATCGGCTATCGGCCAAAAGGAGTTGAAAATTATCAGCATATCGGATATCGGCAAAAATCCTATATTGTGCATCCCTAAACATGATAAATATGATCACCACTTGTTACAACTGCCCCTAATCTTCCTTCGTGTAAAAGATTGTGCTTACTTCCTTTCAGCCAAAATTTGTACATTAGACATTTTTGCCAATAAATAGGCTACTGGCTAACTTGTCCTGTAGATCTCATCAGGTCAACCCCTATGCAGATTTTATCTATAATGCATGTACTTCCCAAGACACCATCAGGAAACTCTCATACACAGAGCAAAAGATGATACATGCAAAACAGGGTCACATGACAGATCTGATGACAATGCACTGACATTCATTCACTGTGAAAGGCTTCATGCCGAGTTATGACGGTCAATCACTATGGAATGCTTCAAGTGATGTGATACAGCCCATCCCTTAGGTACAACGTTAGTCTAACATTAGACTAAACATTTCAATCACCACAATGCAGTTCTGGCATTCTAATCTTTTAAAGCAGTTTGCATGGTACATGAACATGCACAAGATGACAACTGAGGAAAAAGAAATGCTCCAATAAAAGCAGACCACATCTACCTGAAGGCATTGATTACATTCTTTCTGGAATAAAGTGGAAGTCTAGAAAGTAAAGGAATAAAGTCATTGTGACTCCAGTGTGCCAAACACAAAAGCTTCACCTCACTTTCTGCATACGAGATGAAATCAACATAGGTAAACTTCATTTTCACACTTGGACAAAAAGTGCAACAAATTCAATTGGAAAGGATGCACCAGCAATGCCAAGGTCATGAGTCTGATTCTTAAAAAACAAACATCTTTTCAATGTATAGCTTCAGTAAAATGTAAGCCGCTTTGGACAAAAGTGTGAGCCAAATGAATATATAAAACCAAATCTTTAGAAACATATTTGAAATGCAGCAAAGCAAGTTAATGTCTACAAGATGGTTTTAATGTGACCTTGAAACAAGTCAGTTTTTCATTAAAACCAGCCTATTATTAAAAGGAATAGACTAAGAAAGAGGTTCTTTAAACAAATTGTAGGCTTCAGGATCTTACCGGTTGCGGGGGTAGTTGTGCGTAAGGCTGATTGGAGAGGAGCCAGTTTTGTAGTTTCCTGCTGGGCCAAAGCCATTAACAAATGTGCTGTTTGGAAATGGAGCCTGCAAGATAAATCAACAGCTGAGATTAACCCACACATCCAAGTTGAATTCACATTTTTGTGACACATGGCCAAAGCACCCCTTTACATTGTGATATGCTAAATGAACCAAATAACTGTTGGCATGGTAACCGTTCAACTGCCCTGACTACATTGCAGCAAGTCCCCTGCAGCTCAGCCTGCAATCACAACCCTGATTACAAACTAGGAGACCCACTGTGATTATCAGCTTATACCTTCAGCATTCATGACTGTAATACAAAGGTAACAAAACAAAGAGTCACATTTAAAGCGGTTCTAAAATGACTATAAATGAATTGCTTCAATGCTCAGCCAATAGCAAATAGTCAAAGTGACCCTCAGATCTCATAATCTTAACGCTCACTGGGACAGGAGTGACAGAGACTTAAAGGAGAAAGAGACAGAAAGAAGAAAAGTGAGATAAAAGTAGCAGAAAAGGAGAAGAAAAAGATCTCCCAAAATCTTCTGATCACTCCCTGCTTCCCTCTATGTGTTTAGTTTATCATCACTGGGTCAAAACAACCAAATTTGCTCTAAACATCTTTCATATACAGCTACATTTGTGTTTCTGAACATAGGTTTTTGATTCACTTTTTTTTTTTAAATAAACAAAAAAATTTGTATGTTTTATTTAGCAAGGAAGCATTAATTTCATCAAGTGACAATAAATACTCTTACATTACTACAAAAAAAAAAAATATATATATTTCAAATAAATACCGTTTTAAATAATTCAGAGAAATCATTATACATTTTCACCACAATTTTATGTAGCATCATTTTTAACTGAGATAAGAATTGTTTCTTGAGCACCATATCACAGACCTGCCAACCTTTGAAATTATTTTTGAGTACAATCAGTGTGATGAAATATAGAATATATTTCTGCGTCATTCTGTGATAAGAAGCCACATCAGATCAGGACGGAAGTTATTTCTAACATTTGTTTGATGTTGTGGAGTATGTTAATGGTCGGTTTTGTTGGACAACAGGTTTAGAAACGCTCCGCATTAGAAGTAATGCTCGGCTTATGTTGCTTTTTCAGATGCACCATGCACGTGTTTCCTCATCTCAGCACGCGACTCAAGGACACAAAAACAGAGCCAGTTTGGAGAGAAATAAAACACACGGAAATTTAAATGCAAAACCGGAAAAAACAGTCTGATTGGTTAAACTCCTCATCTTTTTCTGTTGCTTGTTTACTGCACGTGGACAGGACACCAGGTTTTTGCGTAGTTTAGAGTGACAAATCATACCAGCGTACTTTAAGGTCAAAATGCGAACCCGTTACTCAAAATGCGTACAGGTTGGCAGGTCTGATATCAGCATATTAGAAAAGGTAGTGTTCATCTTATTATATGGGGAATTCTCACTGCAAACCACTTGAATTTTTTTTATTAATTTTTAACACTCTTCACAACATATTTCAAGATAAAATTCTCACCAGTGGCGTTTCAAAGTAAGGGGTGGGTGAGGGGGTCCAAGTCTGTGGCAGGAGGCTATAGAGAGGGTACTGCTGTGGAGGCTGGTACACCTGCTGCAGGTAAACTGGAGACGAGTACTGTGATGGAGTGGAGTAAACCCCGGATTCAACTGCCCCATAACCGTTCTTAGCAAAGAACGTGTTTATGGCCTTGATGCGAGCCTACCGACACAAACATACAAAGAGACACCTTTATTAAAACCAGAACATCTAAAAGATCATTCATTATGCGTTACACTCAGTTGTGAAACTAAAGGGAGGCCATAAATGACAAATCAGTATTCACATTTGTCCATATCCCCTAAGATCTCAATCTCACAATAATCAGGGCGGAACTCACAGAGAGAAAGCAAGACAGACAGGAGAATCACACGCACTCTAAACATAAGTAAAACAATACATGCACCTTGGTTATAAACGTGAACCTTTGTCTTAGCAGAGCACTGGAAAGCAGATTTCCTTCATATGGCACAGACGCATCTCATGCATTACTCATACAGATGCCTTTTGTTTGTCTATTTAGGATGTTGGACAAGATAAAATGCATTTTGTCATACAAGTTAACGCAACGAGACTTTGAACAGGACGAAAACAGCTTGATTTGAGGATTACATAATCCCATACACAGTCTATGGGGTCTTTCCTATTGGTTACACACCGATGGTATAATTGATCACTGATTGGTTGAAAGAACAAGGGTCGAAGTTGAATACTTCAGAGAAACCTGTTAATCATCACAAGTGGTCAAGATGACACTAGCTGTATTTGAAGTGTTTGCCAGGAACGCACACATCCAGGGTGCTTAAATGACAGCTGATCTAACAAGAGAGGTGGCAGCACAATGTACACTCACCATAATTGGTTTGCCCTGAAAGGTTTTGACTTCCTCACGCAAGTATCTGTAAGCCTGTAAAACAATGAGACATGAGTCAATCCAGAAAACATTTCAGTTATTAAACCAGCAGAGAAAATGCAAAAACACTTTTGGCATTATTAATGCAACAACAGCACAGCAAATGTGCGTATTTGTTATTGTATCAGCCAATTACTATGGATGTTGTAATGCCTTTTTAGCTATAATAAATTAATATAAAACGCATAAAGGGTAAATATTTACCTACAGCTTTTTAGATTTCATTATGACCATATTTGATGAATAATTATAATGGCAAACAAAGTTAAACATCATACAGATTAAAAAGTCATAAACCATATTATAGTAAATAAATTCATGCGATTTTTACTTGCAAATAACACAATATGAAATATTCCTCACATATGATTTTTACCAATTATTTATACAAACATTTATTCCATGAGAAAGTCCCTTTGTGTGTGTTTGTCAATAATACCTGCTGAGCATCAGTGTCAGACTGAAATGTGATGTACCAGTTGTTATTGTGTGCAAACTCCACACTGATAACCTGCGGACACTTCTCACTTTTAAACAGGGCCTCCACCTCCTGACAGAGAGACAAAAGCATCAGTCAGCAAATAAAAAGAATAAGTGAAAACTACTGACAAATAGGAGGCCAGATATCCCTCAGATCTCATAATCTCACAGTCATTAGGGCAAAATATACTGTACTGAGAGAGGGAGAGAGAGAAGGAGGGGGGGGGGACGAATAAGAATAAGGATAGATAAATGAGGAGTTAGAAAGAAAGAAAAAGACAGACAATAAAATCTCAACAGCAGCAATGATTCTGGATCCTTCCAAGCGCGATACTGATCAAAATTGGGGTGACCACAGTAATGGTAACCAGTCTCTACTATATACAGCCACAAGAGATGACCATAAAGTGTGCTCTCACCTCTACAGGTGTGGTCTCAGGAACCTCTCTGAGGATGATGATACATCGCTTGTGGTTTGGCCGTACCTTCTCCCCCTTTTCATCCACCTGCACCATGGGAGAGGCTGAGGAGGACAGAAAAGAAAGGAATTAAAGCATTGTAAGGAATGAACAAACTCTGAAACTGTGGTCGGGTTTTGTTTGTTTTACCTCGTAGCACCTCAAGTATCAGGTCCATATCAGTAGTCAGCAGTTTGACCCCCTCCATGCTTGCAATGGTCCAAATAGGGACAAACTGATCACTGTCCATCTGAGACATCAGGTAAAGGTCCTTGGAGAGATTCTCTCTGTAAGAAAAACGCAATGAACAGATGAACACTTGCAGTGATATCCATTGCACTCGAAATGGTCAGTGTGCATAAGAATTTCACTGGATACTAGGGGTTGCACCGACTAATCGACTTCAATGCTCTGCCATGACACTTTAAGCTTGACGTCGACTAGTCGCTGGTCCTGTAGAGGGCACAACAGGATAAGAAATCTTTGAAGGACTTCCACATTTACGCTCCGCTTCCAAACAGCTCAAATGACAAATAAATGCATATTCTGAAAGCGCTCCATAAGACATGTGTGATTATATTACTGGATGCTCGAAATTGAATAGGAGAATGCACGTTTTAAACAGCTTATTGCACAGGTAAGTTAATCGCCGTTCTAATCTAATGCGCTGCTGCACTGTAACGCACACAACATAGGCTACAGACAGTAGCGCGCGTACATCACGCGCACAGAATCATTCAGCGCGGAAATGTATTGTCAACACTGTTCTGTGATTTCTCAATAAAATAGCTTAGAAACTGAAAAGTTCAAGCATTTATTTCTTAATAACTAAATTCCACAGCTTCACTACTAGTAGAGAGACGCTGCCAGGTAGAATTAATTCACACACGCAATCGCTCTCACTAATGCATTCATATTAATGTAATCTTTACTGTGCTACTTTATCTGTATCTGATTTAGAATGAGCAGAAATATGTGAGAAATATAACGACTTAAAGACAAAAGAACTGATAAAAAAAGCTGTTATAGGAGCAACA